TATCTGTTAGATCAGTTAAGAATAAAAAAGTTTTTGTTTTACATTCAGTTATTTTTTCTTCCATGCTCTTCCTTTCTTTAAGTAGATCCAAGTTTCTGACCTATATTATCTTCCTTTTCTTCAAAGAATTTCTTACATTATGTTGCAAATAACGTCTTAACATTTCTTATAAGGCAGGATTACTGACAACAAATTCCCTCAATTTTTGTTTGTTTGAGAAAGTATTTCTCCTTCACTTTTGGAGGACAATTTCACCGGTTACACAATTCTAGGTTGGTGGGGTCTTTTTCTCTCAACACTTTAAACTTTTCACTCAACTTTCTTCTTGCTTGCACAGCTTCTAAGGAAGACTCAAATGTAATTCTTATCTTTGCTCTATAAGTAAGGTGTTTGTTTTTCCCCCACTGGCTTCTTTCAGGATCTTTTCCTTATCTTTGATTTTCTGTGGCTTTTAAATGGTATGTATCTAGGTGTAATTTTTTGATATTTATTCTGCTTAGTATTCTCTGAGCTTTCTGGATCTCTGGGGGTTGGTGTCTGACATCAATTTCTCAATCATTATTGTTTCAAATATTTTTTTTTTCCTTTCTTTCTTTCTTCTCCTATGGTATTTCCATTGCACATTATTCCTTTTTTAGTTACTTCACAGTTCTTGCATATTACATGGTTTTGGGGCTTTTTTCAGTCTTTGTTCTCTTTGATTTTCAGTTTTGGAGTTCTCTCTTCAGATATCCTCAAGCTCAGAGATGCTTTCCTCAGCTGTGTCCAATCTATTATGTCTTTGGACTGGAAACTTCGAAAGTATTTCTCAGGTTTTTTTCTCCACCCCTTAGGTATTACAGGATGGCTACAGTGAGCTAGAGTTGGATATTTTCCTTCTTCCACACAGAAGGCTAGAGCTAGCTGGAGTTAGTATTTCCCTTCTTCCAGGTCTGTTAGGCTCTGATAAAACCCCAGCAAGTTAGGCTTTGGTTAATTAGTTTCTCCTGGCTTCTTCTTATTGAGAAAAACAGAATATTCTCAAGTATTTTGGGGGGTTATGAATATTCATGAGATACAAAGTTGATTGTCACCCCTCGTGCCCAAGATGTGCAGGCCAGATCCATACTGGCAGCATGCCCATTACTGCAAATTGCGACTGGAGTATTTATTTATTTTTTTTTCCTTTTTGTCTTTTTTACTGACCAGTAACGGGACCGCAACCCTCGGTGTCGCGCCCATACCGGGGACCGGCAACGGGATCGCAACCCTTGGTGTTGCGCCCGCACCGCTCTCAGCCAGTGAGCGGGAACCGGTCTCCAAATGGAATCCGAACCCTCGGCGGGAGCGCCGCCATGCTCCCAAGCAGTGCACTCTCCAGTGCGCCACCGGGCCGGCCCGTGACTGGAGTATTTAAATGGTTCCTTTGCTCCTCCCCTGCCAGAGCACAAAGGGATTCTTCTTAGATATTTACTGTGAGAACCTGGTCGAGCTCCTGGAAGTAAAACTCACAAAAGGTGTGGCCCCTCCCTCCATGACTGTGTCCCCCTGGAGTTTTTAACCCTCAGACTTGTCCACACCTATCCTCCAAAAATTCATCAATTTCAGTTCAAGTTTTCCTACCCTGGCACTGGTTCCTGAGGAGATTTATGCTCCAGTATGTTGTGATTTCTGTATCCACCTGTCTGTCTCTCCAATTTGGGGGGCAGAGGTCTCTATACTGTTTTTGAGTATATCTCGTTGCATAGAATTTTGTGGTATGCTATAGGTATTACATTATTTATACAGAATTTATCACAGTCTACAGGTGTCATTTTACCTGTTTGAGTGAAATATAGACATTTTACCTTCCTTTACATTTCTTTACCTTCCCCTGTTTATAATATAATTATCTTAAATATTTCCCCTACATACATTTAGAGTCACACCAGACAGTGTTATAATTTTTGCCTCAACAGTCCAAAATAATTGATAAAACTAAAGAAGAGAAAATCTATTGTATTTATCCATATTTTTTCTTATCATGTTCTTTCTTCTTTTTTGCTCCAAGGTTCCTTCTTTTTGTCATTTCACTTCTCTTTAGAGAACTTCCTTCTGCCCATTCCCTAGGGTAGATCTGCTGGCAACAAATTCTCTTAGTTTTCCATTATCTGAGAATGTCTTGATTTCCCTTCATTCCAGAGGGATATTTTCACTGGATATAAAATTCTAGGGTAGCAGTTCTTTCAGCACTTGAAAAATGTTGTGCCGCTTTCTACCAGCCTCCATGGTTTCTAATGATAATTCTACTGTATTTCATGTGTCCTTCCCCTGTGGGTAAGTTGTCATTTTTATTTGACTGCTTTTAAGATTTTTTTCTTTCTTTTCAGTTTTTAGAAGTTTGACTATGATGTATCTTGGCATGGATTTCTTTGCGTTTACCCTGTTTGAGATTTGCTCAGCTTCCTGAATCTGCAGGTTTATGCCTTTTGGAAAATTTGTGATGTTTTCAGCTATTATTTCTTTGAGTACTTTTTTAACCCTTTCAATTTTTCTCACCATCTGAGACTACAATGACACAAATGTTAGATCTTTTGTTACAGTTTCACACATCCCTGAAGGTCTGCTTATTTCTTTTTTCAGATTGGGTAATTTCTGTTATCCTATCTTCTAGTTCACCAATTCCTTCCTCTGTGCCTTGCATTCTGCATTTGTGCCAGTCCACTTTTTTTATTATTATTACATTTTCAGTTTTAAAATTTCTGTTTGGTTCTTTATATACAGTCATGTCCTGCATATGGACTTTTCAGTCAGTGGACCACATGTACTACAGTGGTCAGAACAATAGGTTATGCCATACAGCCTAGGTGTGTAGCAGGCTACAGCATCCAGGTTTGTGTAAGTATACTCTATGATAATGCACAATAACACAATTGCTTAATGATGCATGTCTCAGAATGTAACCCTGTCATTAGGCGATGTATGTCTGTATTCTTTTTTTTTTTTTTTTTTTTTTTGACTGGGACTTTTGTTTCTTTTGTTTCTAATGTGTTCATAATGGCTCTTTGAAACATTTTTATAATGACTGTTTTAAAACATTTGTCAGATAGTTGTAACATTTCTATTATCTTGGTGTTGGCATCTACTGATTGTCTCTTTTCACTCAGAATGAGATCTTTCTGGTTTTTCATATGATGAAGGTTTTTTTAATTGAAATCTGCATATTTCGGGTATTATGTTATGAGACTCTGGATCTTATTTAAGCAGAACTTAGGAATACGACCTTGTTACTGCCAGATAAGGATAGAATCCCAGGTTCCCCATTTGATCTTCGTTGACACCTGTTGAGGATGGGGGTGACTCCTTATTACTGCTCTGTAGGGGTGAGAGTTCCCCACTAGGCCACCAATGATAATGTCCTGTATGGAAGGGTAGGAACACCTCATCACCGCTCCCCACCTGACCTCTGCTGATGCCACGGGGAAAGGCAGCCTTATTATCACTGGGCAGTGGTTCAAGTCTTGACTCGCCACTCAGCCTCTTCTGACACCACCTCATCAGTGAGAGAGATGTGTGCATCATTACTCCTGGGCAAGGCTGGAAGTCCAGATTTCCTGCATGGTCTCCACTAAGGGGTGTCATTACCTCCCAGTGAGGATGAAAGTCCTGAATCCTTATTTGGCCTTTGGCCTTCTCCGATACTATGAAGAAATGGGGAAAAGAAGTTGGAAGCCTGGTCCCCCCCAGTCAGCCAGTCTCTGCTGGTATGAGTGAGAGTAAGGGCCATGGGGGTTTTTTCTGTGCTGTTTGCCTGGAGTAGAGTAGTTATCACCTAAGAGTTTTCTGTCTTGTTAGGATGTCCTTTCCTGGTCCTTTGGATTGAGAGAATAAACTTTTGTTGGTTTTTTTTTTTTTTTTTTTTTTTTTTTTTTGGTCTGTGCCCATTGGCATTTCTGGATTGCCAAGATGTATGAGGCAAAAAGAAACCAGGGACTCACCACCATGTCATTGCTTGTGTCTCAAGGAATCTTGCCAGTCTGCCTTCTCTCCACCTCTCAGAGTCTTCTTAGGTTTGTTTTATACACAGTATGCAGGGGTTTTAGTTGTATTTAATGAAGGAATAGGGAAAAGTAAGTCTACTCCACCTTGTTAGAAAGAGATTTTGCTTGATATTTTTTTATAATGTCTTTAGTACTTTTTTACAGCTATTGCTTTTTCAATTAGTAATATATCATTAGCATCTTTTTAATGTTAGTATATATGCATGAATCTAATTTTTTTTTACTGCTGCTAGATTGCTATTATATAAGTTGGTACTCTGAGACATAACAAACCTGAAGAACTACTTTGATGTGAAAGATCTTATATATGGATATTTAGATTTTTCTCAATTGTTTTCTATTCCAATGATTATCATTCTTATACATATAAGGGTACTTCAAAAAGTTCATAAAATGATTAATATTATCTTTTAATTCTATTTTTCTACAAACTTTTTGCAGTACCCTCATATATCTTAGCTTCTTTTTTCCCATAGAAACATCCTATATTAAATGTTTTCCATAGAAACAGTCAACTTTTTCTTCTTCCCTTTTTTACCTGGTACTAATTTTCTATTTTTATTTTCATCTTATTTTTCTGAATATCCACATACAGTTCTAAGTACTTGTAAATGCTTTGGGGAAAATTGATATATAAATATATATTTTAAAATAAGCTGATAAATTCATCACCTTCTATATGTTTAATACTATGCCACACACTGTGAAACAGGAGACATTGCTAACCCTCAAGAAGCTCTTAATATACTTAAGAACATTGGTTTACTGTACAGGAAACAGATGAAATCCCACAAGATGTCAGAGAAATGGTAGATTCTGGTATAGCACATAGGACAGACTAGTATTGTGCATGTTCAGAAGGAAAGGAGATCAGTGTGGAAAAACAAGACTCATTGCAACATTTAATCGATGAGTTGTAATAAATATGGGGAAATATCAATGTCCAGTGGTTCCTAATTGATTTTACTTTTGTTTTGTCAGTGGAATCATATCTGACCTCTTTCCTGGAGTCCAAATTCCAGAACACGATTATGGCATTTTGCAGTCAACAATCGTGGATGTCATGAATGGACAAAAGCTTCAGCCTGAGATATGTATGGTTAAAAAAGTGATACAGTTCTATGAAACTATGCTAGTAAGGCATGGTGTTATGTTAGTCGGGCCAACAGGAGGCGGCAAGACCACAGTTTACCGAATACTAGCAGAAACTTTAGGGAATTTGCAAAAACTTGGTATAGACAATCCCTTTTACCAAGCAGTTAAAACATATGTTCTTAATCCTAAATCAATTACAATGGGTGAATTATACGGTGAGGTTAACAACATAACGTTGGAATGGAAAGATGGCTTGATGGCACTAAGTGTCCGAGCAGCCGTGAATGATACTTCAGAAGACCATAAGTGGATCATCAGTGATGGGCCAGTGGACGCTCTTTGGATTGAAAATATGAATACAGTGCTGGATGATAACAAGATGCTTTGTCTGGCTAACAGCGAGAGGATTAAACTCACACCTCAAATCCACATGCTTTTTGAGGTAAATGTATGCCTTCTTATGGAGTGAAATTCTTTATCAAATTGGTATACCATCATTAAATTTCTTTTCCTCACACTGATGTATCATTTACTATCTATGCTTACCATGGTGTTTTGTTTACTTACTATACTTAATAAATTATCTTTTTTGTAATAGATCATCAATCCTGACAGTCAAAGTCTCTCATATTTTCCTGTCTCTGTATAAACGGGAAATACAATAAATTCTGGCTTCCCCAGGACGTGCTTTCCTTTGGAGGTATATACAGGCATACCTCGGAGATGTTGCAGGTTTGGTTCCTGACCACTGCAATAAAGCAAATATCACAATAGAGAGAGTCATATAAATGTTTTGGTTTCCCAGTGCATATAAAAGTCATATTTACACTATGCTGTAGTCTATTAAGTGTGCAGTAACATTGTCTTTAAAAAAAAAAAAAAGGACACACCCTAATTTAAAAACTCTTTATTGCTAAAAAATTCTAATGATAATCTGAGCCTTCAGTAAATCGTAATCTTTTCACTGGCTACAGGTCTTGCCTCAGTGTTGATGGCTGCTGACTGATCAGGGTGGTGGTTGCTGATGGTTGAGTGACTATAGCAATTTCCTAAAATAAGACAGTGAAGTTTGCCACATCAATTGACTCTTCCTTTCATGAAAGATTTCTCTACAGCGTGTGATGCTGTTTAATAGTATTTTACCTACAGCAGAACTTCTTTCAAAATTGGAGTCCATCCTCTCAAAGCATGCTGCTGCTTTACCAACTAGGGTTATATAATATTCTAAATCTTTTGCTGTCATTTCAACAATGTTCACAGCACCTTCACCAGGAGCAGATTCCATCTCAAGAAACTACTTTCTTTATTCACCCATAAGAAGTAATTCCTCACTCATTTAAGTTTGATTGTGAGATTGCAGCAATTTAGTCACATCGTCAGGCTCCACTTCTAATTCTAGTTCTCTTGCTATTGTCACCACATCTGCAACTATCTCCTCCACTGAGGTCTTCAACCCCTCACAGTCACCCATGAGGGCTGAAATCAATTTCTTCTGAACTCCTGTTGATGTTGATGTTGTGACTTCCTCCCATGAACCATAAATGCCCTTAATGGCATCTACAATGGTGAACCCTTTCCAGGAGGTTTTCAATTTACTTTCCCCAGATCCATCAGAGAAATTGCTGTCTATGGCATCTATAGCCCTACAAAAGGTATTTCTTAAATAATAAGACTCAAAAGTTGAAATTGCTCCTTGATCCATGGATGGATGTTGTGTTAGCAGGCAAGAAAACAATATTAATCTCCTTGTATATCTCCATCAGAGTTCTTTGGTGACTATGTGCATTGTCAGTGAGCAGTAATATTTTGAAAGGAATCTTTTTTCTGAGTAGTAGATCCTAACAGTGGGCTTAAAATATTCAGTAAACCATGCTGTAAACAGATGTGCTGTCATCAAGGATTTGTTGTTCCATTTATAGAGCATAAGCAGAGTAGATTTAGCATAATTCTTAAGGGCCCTAGGATTTTCAAAATGGTAAATGAGCGTTAGCTTCAGCTTAAAGTTACCAGCTGCATTAGCCCCTAACAAGAGAGTCAGACAGTTCTTTAAATCTTTAAAGCCAGACATAGACTCCTCTCTAGCTATGAAAGTCTTAGACAGCATCTTCTTCCAATATAAGGCTGTTTTGTCTACATTGAAAATCTGTTGTTCAGTGTAGCCACCTTCATCAGTGGTCTTAGTAAGATCTTCTGGATCACTTGCTGCAGATTCTACATCAGCACTTGCTGCTTCACCTTGCACTTTTATGTGGTAGAGACAGTTTCTTTCCTTAAACCTCATGAACAAACCTCTGCTGCTTCAAACTTTTCTTCTGCAGATTCCTCACCTCTCTCAGCCTTCATAGAATTGAAGAGAGTTGGGGCCTTCTTCTAGATTAGGTGTTGGCTTAAGGGAGTGTTGTAGCTGGTTTGATCTTCTATCCAGATCACTAAACTTTCTTCATATCAACAATAAGGCTGTTTTGCTTCCTTATCATTCACTGTTCACTGGAGTAGCACTTTTAATTCCTTCAAGAGCTTTTCCTTCTCATTCACAGCTTGGCTAACTGTTTGGCACAAGAGGCCTAGCTCTCTACCTATCTCAGCTTTTGACATACCCTCCTCACTAAACTATTATTTCTAGCTTTTAACGTAAAGTGATGTGCATCTTCCTTTCACTTGAACAGTTAGAGGCTATTGTAGGGTTATTAGTGGGCCTAATTTTAATATCGTCATATCTTAGGGAACACAGAGGCCTGAGGAAAGGGAGACAGGGAATGGCCAGTCGGTGGAGCAGTCAGAACACACACATTTATTGATTAAGTTCACCATCTTTGGGGCCCCCAAATAATTATAATAGTAAGGTCGAAGATCACTGGTCACAGGCCACCATAACAGATATCATAATAATGAAAAGGAAATATTGCAAAAATTACAAAAATGTGATACAGAAACATGAAGTGAGCACATCCTGTCAAAGAAATGGCACTGGTAGAGTTGCTTGACACAAGGTTGCCACAAATCTTCAATTTGTAAAAAATGCAGTATTTGTGAAGTGCAATAAAATGAGGTATGCCTATATATATGAATTTATATAACTTGACATGCTTTCTAAGTAAAATTGTTATATTTAATCTGAATAAATTATTCATGTTATAAACTCATATGAATAAGTAATTTATTCATATGAATATTTGATGAGGGATTGGAGGAAGGATGTGGACCAAATACAGCTACAAAACGTTATAGAATATACCACCCCTGTTCTATTCATTCATCAAATACTTACTGAATGCCTACTATGTGCTAGGTATTAGGCTAGGTGTTAAGATACAAGAATAAAAAGGAAAGAAAAGAAAAAAGAAATACCTATTTGTGATTTGACAGTATCCTCCTGCACTTATGGGATTTTTTTTTTTTTACCTTATGCCTCACTTAACTTTCCTTCTCCATTTCTATTACTTTTTGCTCTCCCACTCTGTTCCACATAAAGCCCTTCACTGTTAAACTTTAAAGGTGTGAATCATTTAACATTGAAAGTGGAGGAATAAGAAAGTATCACATTAGCTGTTTATTGTTTAACTTTGTTCAACTTTAGGTGCAAGATCTAAAGGTTGCCTCCCCTGCAACAGTCAGTCGATGTGGAATGGTGTTTGTGGATCCTGAAGAACTGAAGTGGATGCCTTATGTTAAAACTTGGATGCAGGGTATTTCTAAAAAAGTAAGTGTACCAGATGTTCCCCAATATCTCCATCCATCATGGCTCACACTGCCCTGGAATGCACAATAGCTTAGGTTAAGGCCTCATTGTGTTTGATTGAGGGAATTCTATCAGTTTATCTAGTCCCTCTCTTTAAGAATTCCTGGGATTTTCCAGGAATGTTTGTATACTCCCCAAATATGTCCCATTAGCCAGCCATCCTGCCTGGTCACTCTGCTTCCTGCCTAGTCTGCCTGGCTTCTCCCCAAGCTAGTTCCTCAAATGCAAACACAAGCCACTTCCTGAATCGCTAAAAACACAGGCAGAACAGACTGAGGCATTGAGAAAGACTTTGCAGAAGGCTTGGGGTAATGAGAGGAAATCACAAAGTTAAAAAAGAACATTTAAATCCAGATGCATTTAATTCCAAACACTGTCACTGTATTTAGGTTTTAGGAGCTCCTAACACCTCTGAGAGCCAGAAAGAAAAGAAAACCAGTTTACCTCTCATCCTAATCATAGGTGCAAGACCCAAGACCCAAGACACATGCTAATCTTCAAGGTATAATTCTAATCAAAGTGAAGGAAAGCTTATACATTATTCAGAGCAACTCGATTTTGTACTATCCTCTGTACTCTCTTCACTCCGAAATATGATTTTCTCTTTACTTTAGCTAAACAAGTGGTCCTTTGAATTGTTCCCCCTTCCCATCCCCCACTTCAAGGAAGCCGTTCTCTCCACCTCTCTCCACTCTGAATTGTCTCAGAAAACTACTGTTTTCCTCATTCTTAGGAATCAACATTTTAAGAATATTGTGTTCTAGTCTCAGAGTACCGTATTAAAGAAAGTAATACTCAGAATTGAGCAAATATCATGGGCTACCGTACAATTTTAAACCTTCCTGAAGTCATTTTTTATTTGTTTTGGATTTTATTCATTCATGTCTAAATGAATGTAGTAGTGTCTTGTTTTAATTTGCAGTTCCTTAATGACATACGATTTGAGCATCTTTTCATATGCTTGTTTGCCATCTGTATATCTTCTAGATATGGTATCAGTTAAGGAAGGTCTTTGGCCCATTTTTAATTGAGTTTTTTCTTATTGTTGAGTTTTAAGAATTTTTGCATATTTTAGAAATCCTTCATCAGATTATGTCTTTTGCAAATATTTTCTTCCAGTCTGTGGCTTGTCTTCTTATTTTTTTAATAATACTCTGGCTTCTTTTCAGATCGTATAAATCTTCCACCTTTTATTCTCTTAACAGTGTCTTTCACTGAGTAGAATTTTTTAATTTTAATGAAGTTCGCCTTATCAATTTTTTCCTTCATGTATCATGCTTTTGGTGTTATATCTAAAAACTCTTTTCCAAACCTAAATTCACCTAGATTTATTTTATGTTATCTTCTAGGCATTTTATATTTCATTTTTTACATTTATGTCTATGATACATTTTGAGTTAATTTTGTGGAGGGTGTAAGGTCAGTGTTTAGAATCATTTTTTTTGCATGTGATTATCCAGTTGTTTCAGAACCATTGGTTGAAAAGATAATCCTTTCTCCACCAGATTGCCTTTGTTCCTTTGTCAAAAATCAGCTGGCTATATTTGTGTGGATCTATTTCTGAGCTCTCTATTCTGTTCCATTGATCTATTGTCTATTCTTTTACCAGTACCATAATACATTGATTACTGTAGCTTCATAGTAAGTCTTGAAGTCAGGTAGTGTCAGTCCTCCAACTTTGATCTTCTTCATTATTGTGTTGACTATTCTGGATCTTTTGCCTTTTCATATAAACTTTAGAATCAGTTTGTCAATATCCACAAAGTAACTTGCTGGAATTCTGATTGAGATTGTGTTGAATTTATACATTAAATTGGGAAAAACTAACATTTCACCAATGTATTTTGTCTTCCTATAAATGAACATGGTATGTCTCTACATTTATTTAGGTCTTCTTTGGTTTTTTTCATCAGAGTATTAGAGTTTTCCTCATATAGATCTAGTACATATTTTGTTAGATTTATAATTGTTTCTTTTTTGGTGCTAGTAAAAATTACATATTTTTAGTTTCAAATTCCAATTGCTCATTGCTGGTATATAAAAAAGTGATTGACTTGTATATATTAACCTTGTATCCTATAATCTTGCTATAATTGCTTATTAGTTCTACTTAGTTTTTTGTTTGTTTTATCCATTTGGGGGGATTTTCTACATAGATAATTGTGTCATCTGTGAACAAAGACTCATACTTCTTCCTTCCCAATCTTTATACCTTTTATTTCTTTTATTGTCCTTTTGTACTAAATAGGATTTATAGTACTAAATAGGATTTATAGTACAATGTTTAATAGAAGTGGTGAGAGGGTCTGAATTCATTTTTAAATCTTTGGAAATTATTCTTTTTACCTTACATAGATATTAAAAGTTTGCCTTCTATGTTTCTGCTTTTTTATTTTATTTTATTTATTTGTTTGTTTTTGCTGGTTGGTACAGGGATCAAACCCTGGTCTTTGGTGTCATCAGCACTACACTCTAAGCAATTGAGCTAACTGGCCAGCTATTTATTTTTATTGTTCTTAATTGTGAAGGTCATCAATATGAAAGAGTGCATAAGACATACAGGCAGTTTAAGAAATAATTATAAAGTGAACACTTCTGTATCCATTACCAGATCAAGAAGTAGAATATTGTCAACTACCCAGAATCTCACCCATCTATTCATTTCAAGTCATAAAAGTTTTTTTAATTTAATTTTTTCATATTTTGTGATGCTTATACCCTTTGGTCTAAAGATCACTGAATTTATTGAAATATACATATTTTAGCCAACCTGTTTATAAACTTAATTATATATTTCATTTGGGCTTGCTACGATACTTTTGTTTCATTTTCAGCTGAATGAGGAAACCCAAGAATATATATTGAACCTTTTCCAACGTTATGTTGATGAAGGTTTAAATTTTATCAATAAAAAGTGCAGCCAAGCAATCCCACAAGTGGACATCAGCAAAGTTACTACACTCTGTTGCTTGTTGGAGTCTTTGATACTTGGGAAAGATGGACTTAACTTGACAATGGTATGAAGGGCTTTCTTACTACTATAAAGCTAGAAAAGGAGATTATTGTATAGATTCTTTGCAAATAAATATCTCCAAATTTTGTGAAATATGATCATTTGATTTTCTAGTTAATTTTTCAGAGGACTAATGATTATGATTAGAGTCATAGATTCTCAAAGTTAAAAGGATTGCTAGAGACCCTATTGTTTCTTCCTCAACTCAATTTTTAATTCCTTTATAGTCTACAACATATTCACAGTACGACATATTCTCAATATGCTTAAATACCTTCCTGCTGGCATAAACAAAGTTGTAATAATTAATTGAAAGGCAACCCTGGGCTTTTCCTACATATGCATTGACATTCATTTTCTCATCAGTGTTTCATTGTATATTACTATAAGAAAACACTATTCTTTGAACCACCAAATGAAGTATGAGAAACATACACTGTGGCCATTTAAAATGTGTGAGTTTAAATGAAAGAAAAAGTCTTTAGACTTTGCAACTAAGGATTCTTTTTATGTTTACGTATAAAATATTAAAACTGATTCTCTTTGATCTTTCAGGAGCCAACAAAACTGAACACTGTACTATGCCAGACTTTTGTATTCTGTTACTTGTGGTCTGTGGGTGGAAACTTAACTGAAAACTATTGGGATTCTTTTGATACGTTTATTAGAACACAATTTGATGATAATCCTGATGCCAGGGTAAGAACCAAACACATTTAATTTTCACTTAATTCTGAATTATTAAGATTAAAATTTAAGATTAAAACTTAAAGAGACCTAGTTCTACTGCAAATATAAATTATTTATTGAGGGTAATGATTTTTTAATTATTCACTTTTTCAATCAAAGATAACATTTATTGTATTTAAAAAAATTTATGAGTTTTTCCCCAGCCATATGAAGAAAATAAGGTTTATAAGTATATAAAAACTCTCTACTATGGACAAATATTAAAATCTAGGTAGTGAATTTATTTTTTCAGTGTGATTATTTAGCAATTCCGAGACTACTTTCTGTACATTTTAAGATTAAGCAAATAAGTAAATATATTGAGAACAATGGAAACCAAGTTTCTCACTGTCAGAGAAGAGACCTACAAATCTGGAAGGAAAAAGATTAGAATGCACTCTGTGATATTGAATTGGAATTGGAGATATCAGTACTCATGGATTTTCAAAATATTAACATATACACATTTAAATATATAAAAATTGATGTGTGTGTATGTATATATATTCATACATACATAAATTTCCTAATTCTGTGTCCTGAGAGGAACTAGACACAATGACACCTCATATGAGGTATGAAATGAGCATACCTAGTGTTCTAATTTCTAAATACTATTCTCCACTAAAGGGAGCCAGGGATCCTTAGGGAAATAGTTGATTTCAGGACTGGAACAGGGAAAATACAAACTAAGCCTAGAACATCTTATGTCAGATAGTAAAGAAGTGCTCAGAGAATGACGGAACATGTCAAAAGAACACAGGAACCAGTTTGAAGGGACTCCTACTGGTCAAAACTGGGTAGATTTGAGCAACAAAATAAACAATAATAAATTTCTTATTTATAACCCTTTGAATAAAATAAAACTGTGAGTTCTTACCGATAACAAAAATACATATGCATAGCTAAATAAGCATCAGAGAAGGAAAAGCTCTTCCTTACAACTAGTACCAACTAATCTATGTAGAAGGAATGAGGGACAGAGTTAGAAAATCACCTTGCAACCATTATCATAAGAATTGACTTGGGCAGGAATCGTCAATGGGTGCTCAAACTAGTGGGTGAAGGTTTCATGGGAAACAATATTTACATAGTTTCACAGTATCTCTACAAATTGCTGATTAATTGCAAAGGGAAAAATAGCATCTTTAGTAGAGAAACTTTACAGACACCTTAACTACGTGGTCAACTTAACTTCATTGATATCAGTACAAACATGTGCCTGCCTCTTGATATGGAGTATGGAAGGATACAACCTTGTTTCTGTGATTTTCCTTTCAAAAATGCATAACTTGAATTTAATCATGCAGATACATGTGGAAAACCCAAACTGATGAGCATTTTATAAAATAAACTGGCCTATATTCTTGAAATATGTCTATGTCATGAGAGAGAAAGAAAGCTGGGGAGCTTTTCCAGGTGAAAAGAGACTAAAGAGATATAACTAAATGCAATGCGTGATCCTGGATTGGATCCTAAAGTTAGAAAAAAGTACAGGAATAAATGACATTATTGGGAAAACTTGCAACATTTGAATATGAAATTAAAGTTAGATAATATGTCAGTGTTCAATATCCTGATTTTGATTATTTTACTATGATTATGTAGGGAAATATCCTTGTTTTGGAACTACATTCTTAAAATCTGACAAAAGATGTTATATTAAACCTCAAGAGTTTTGAAAAATAGAATAGAATAGAAAACAGTGAATTGCACATAGTAGGGATAAATATATGTGTTTGTGGATACACATACATATGTTACTGGGTCACCATGTAGAATGAATTTGTTAGTAAGAATCACTATGAGACGAGCTTGAAACACCACTGCTCTGTACTGCTGCCAGAATGAACCTTCTGAAATGCAATCTCATCGTGTCACTCACCTGCTTGGAATCCTTCACTGAAGTCTTGCTCCAAGCTCTTTAATTTAAAGTGAAGCTTTTCATACATGGCCCCTGTCTATATTCCCAGCCTCATCTCTCACTGGAGGCAGTGCTCTCGAGGTTCCCAGCATGCACTACACTTCCACAGCTTCAGGCTTCCCATCCTGTTTTTTTAAGTCTGAACCTTGACCTCTTCCCCATCCCTATTTCATCCCTTCAGTGCCTGTCTGGGCTCCTGCTTGTTCTGCAAGTCTGAGCTGTAGCATCACCCCACCCACCACCGGAAGCCTTCCTGAATCTGCAGGCACCACCATAACACCCCTGCAAGTAGAAATGAGCCATCTCTCCTTCGTGACTGTAATAAACTCCAACAGAGGCCTGAGTTCCCCATGGGTATTAACTGAAGTGCTCATGTCCCGCATGTGGATTTCCATGTCATTGAAGACAGAGGCTGAGTCTCATTTAGCACTTGTCCCCAGCACCAAGCACAGAATTTGGCATGGACTAAGCCCCTAAACGTTGAATTAAATTGAAAATGGTTTACAATTTTGATATAGGGTTTTAACATAATCAATATATCATATTTTTTCATGCACTGTGTTGCATGATTGTGTTTGAAGAATTAGTACCTAAACATCTACTTCTCTAAAAAGAAAAAAGAAATCTAAATCCATTCGTGTTCTTTGACTGCCTTTGTTTCTATGTGAATTTATGTAGTGCCATGTGCCAGCATTGCCCATTGACTATTGAAAGTGGTGTTTAATTTTGTACTTTAGCTTCCCAGTTCTGGTGATCTGTGGAGCATTCACATGGACTTTGATACCAAACGGCTGGATCCATGGGAACGAATCATACCTACTTTCAAGTACAGCCCAAATGTTCCCTTTTTTGAAATGCTTGTCCCCACAACTGACACGGTGCGCTATGGGTATCTAATGGAAAAACTACTGGCAGTCAAGCATTCAGTGTTGTTTACTGGAATAACTGGAGTTGGCAAGGTAAGAAACCTACATCGAACAAGAAGTTCTGTCCAAATATGAGGGCATGATGGACTTAGAATTTTCAACATCAGAAATAGAACATTATTTCTCAGAGGAATTTATTTTTATTTTTATTACTTCTTCAGGAAGAATGTAACTACACTGAATCTATATCAACCCTGGGAATTTCTCCAAAGTTTGCCAGTTTCTGAATAAATTCTTGAGGTTGATATTATATAAACCAGAGGACCCTGTAGACCAAAGGGCTCTTATGTATCTTGGTATTTCTGGGGCTGCCATGCACCAGTTGGGTGGGAATTGGCCAGAGCAGTTTGTGTCCCCAAAAACTGTTGGTAAGGGTCAGTCTGTCCCCTTCTGCCTGTTTACTTCTGGCTGACACAGTAGTGATGTCATTCTAATGTTTTTGGAAAAAGTACAAGGGGTGTCCAAAAAGTTAATGGAAAGATTCATATTATCTTTTAATTCTATTTTCCATGAACTTTTTGAAGTACCTACTAGTAGAGGGGAAATACTGATTTTGGAACTTCTTGGTTTTGGAGAAGTCCACATAAACAGGGATTCACCATTTCCTCTCTAAATTATTTCTAAAAGAGGTTTGGATCCTTCTGTAACTCTCGTTATTAAGTTGGCTTGGATAGTAACCAAGATGGATTTTGGTATGAAACTATAATAAAACCTTTGTGCTGAGAGAGCTGATTGGAATATTTCTTTGGTTCTGATAAGTATAACTAAATGGAATCTCCAGTAAGCGAAAAGCAGACATTTCAATCTGGCTTAACCTCTCTCCTTTTATCCTATTTCTTCCTAATTATACTGGATTAGTACTGATATAGATAACTGAAATATATTATATTGAATATGAAATCAATTAACTTTTTTAATTTAAAGTCTGTTATTGCAAAAGGATTGCTAAATAAACTTCAAGAAACAGATGGCTATGTCCCTGTTTATCTAAATTTTTCTGCTCAAACTTCATCTGCAAGGACACAAGAGATCATTGAGTCAAAACTGGAAAGAAAAAGAAAAAATATTCTAGGTAAGAATTATTTTAATTTGTCCCACACAAATTTTTCATTAAGGTGATAAATCATTTAAACAGTGCATGTAATAAAATGGCAATTGGATATTTTCTTTGCTTAATTTGTTTGTAAAGGTGATTCTGTTAATGGTATTTTTTTCTGTGCTAGATATCTGGATATCTTATTATTGACAAGCAAGTTGCTTATTTCCGTCACCACCTTGAAGCCCAGAACACCTTCAGTCTCTGCCTCTCCGTGGCTCTCTCTCTCCACCTAGGCTCTTCAAACCTGCATCGATTTCCCTTTATTTAAAACAAGCAAACCTCTTTATATTTGTGTCATTGAGTTATCTGAACTCAGTGGGAATTATGCAAAAAACTGGGTTCTTTCGTCCATCAATACTTTCAACCAGCTTTTGTGGTATCTCCCTCACCCTTCCTTGTTCACTGCTTAGATAAATAGCATCACCTTTGTGTCACCTGCAGATATTTTGAGTCCAGGCCACCATAAAGCTTCAATATCAAACCCAATTTAAAGCTCTTCCTCTCCCCTCTCCTAAGCCAGGTTTGTGGCTCCAGGTACTGAACGTGGAGGGGGCATGGGTGCTCTGTACTCCTCCCACCCTCCCTGCAGGAGACTCTGGTGTGTTTGGGGTGGGAGGTGGAGAAGAGAAGAATGGTATCTTCTCACTAACTGGTGTTTAGATGGGCCTCTCTGCGGACAGTACCTGCTTCTCCAGCAGGCGCTGAATGACTATCTGTGCTCTCTGTGAGGCTTTCAGGAGCGGGCTCCCATGAGGGACTCCCAAAAAAGTTATTCATAGGTCAGGCATTGGCCTCCCCGTTGGAAGGTTCCCTGAGGTTGGCAATCAGGGTCTTGGCCCCACTAGGTCCTGTCCTCCAGCAATACATCCTGCAGCCTCTTGCTGCTGGATCCACTTGCCCAGCCCACAGTCCTCCTGGGTGGGGTACCAGCCAGAACTCATGCTCAGCTGCCTTCTGCATCGTCCATCATCCAGTGGGCCCTGTTATGCTAAATAGTGGGGTTGCCAGCTGCTGCAGGGCCTCCTCTCTCTGTTCCCTTTTTCCTGTTCAGGTAGGCACAGGACAGCAAATCCAGTATAATTTCTGGTGGCAGTGCCAGATCTTTCTGAATGATTCTCTTAGTGCCTCTCCCTATCCCCGTTCCTGCTATTTGGCTTCCAGGGGATGGAGGATGGAGTGGAGCACTGTGTTTGCCTCAGTTACCTTGGAATCACCTTCTGTAATTAATCCCAACCCTCAGGATACGGCTATTTGCCCATCAGGTGTCAAGCGCTGGATGCCGGAGTGGATGGAATCACCTCCTTGACTTACATTGCTCTCTTTTCTCTGCCATCACTAATTCTTTTTCCTGATGAGTGTGTACCTTGATTTTCTTTAGGTTAAATGTGGCATTGTGCAGCTCTGCTGTACTGGATTTCCCATGATTGGGATGCTTCTGAATGTCTATCTCTGTTTTCCCTGTGAGGGTAGCGAGATGGCGTTGATGAAGGGAAACCTTTGGCATTTGTGTGCTTCCCACTGTGGAAAGAAAGTGACCTTCCTCACCCATGCCCAGGCCCCACAGTTGGCGAGGACAGTGGGTGTGGCTGGGATTGAGAAAGATCCAAACCTCACTGGAGAGCTGTCATCGTCATGTGCTCTCAGAGTTAGGGTGAGGGGCCACCTGACATGCCACTGCAGACGTCCCAGCCGGGTCCACCTCTCCCTGCAGGGGGCTGGATGGGACTGAGGGGGGTCAGGATTCTGCTGGAGCCCTCCTCATACCCAGAGAACTAAGCTCACTGTGACCTACAGAATCTCACTGGGCCCAAAGCCATACCTAAGCTTCGTCTTACATTTTCTAAGGGTAGATCATAATTTTTAAATTCATTTTATTTCCCCAGGAGCACCAGGAAACAAAAGAGTTGTGATTTTTGTTGATGATTTAAACATGCCCAGACTGGATCACTATGGCTCTCAGCCTCCGATTGAATTACTTCGACAGTATCAAGATTTTGGTGGATTTTATGACCGAAACAAACTCTTTTGGAAAGAAATACAGGTTACTTTATGTTTTAAACTACTTGGTGTGTTTAAACTTAAATGACAAGGAAGTAAACTTTATTAGTTTGCTGGGACTGCCATAACAAGTACCACAGACTGGGTGGCTTAAACAACAGGAATTTGTTTTCTCACAATTCTGAGGGCTGGAAGTCCAAGATCAAGGTGTCGGCAGGGTTGGTTTCTTCAAAGTCCTCTCTCCTTGGCTTGTAGATGGCCACCTTCTCCCCTGTCTTTACATGGGCCCCTCCGTGTCTGTGTCCTAATCTCTTCTTATAAGGACACCAGTCATATTGGATTAGAGCCCACCCTAATGACCTCATTTTAGCTTAGTTACCTCTTTAAAGAGCCTGTCTCTAAATATAGTCACATTCTGAGGTACTGGGGATTAGGACTTCCACATACAATTTGGGTGTAGGGGACACAGTTCAGCCTGTAACAAGGCCTCAGTGTTTCTTACATGTAATTCAATTCATTCCTTCTATACTGAGTTCTTGCCATGTTTGGATTATTAGATACATGGAAAAGCGAGACAGTCCCCACCTCCCAGAGAGCTCAGCTTTGGAGGGTGGACAAGCATTTCCAATGCAGGGAGATAAGTGGGGAGAGACAGGAGAGAGGCGGGGGAGGGGGCTGGGTTGAGGATGAGAGAAGCCCTTCCAGAGGAGGTGACTTCAGAGCGGGACTGTGAAGGCAGAGCATGCCGAAGCAAGGAAAGGAGAGAGCGCTCTACATCTCAGAAGCAGGGAACCGGAAACACCATGCGGGTGTGAAGTGTGAGCACCAAAGCCACAGCAGACACAGAGGTCACATCCCTGAGGGCTGTGGTCCCATGATGAGGGACATGGATTTATCCTGTAAGTGGTGGGGAACCTCTGAAGGAGATGTATGGAAAGGTCCCCTTGGCTGCAGGGGAGGGACGGGCTAGAGAGGAGGCAGGAGCAGAGGAGCAGCAGCATCCAAGAGGAGAGATCAGGGTCACCTCATGTGGTGCAGTGTGCAACTCTCGGGGTTTAGGAAGTGGGTCAGCAGACCTCGTGGGGTACAGAGTCAGAAGGAGAAGGGGGAACCTAGGTTGGCTGCCCCGTTCCTGCTCTGGTGAACAAAAACCACCACCCCAGATAGGAAGTGCAGGGCAGGCATGTCTGGGGTGAGTTTAGTTTTGTTCACAATAAAAACAAATAATTGTACTTACCAGCTTGTTTAACCCCCTTTTTATAGAAAAGGAAACAGAGTCCCAGAGTGTGGAGTTAGGTGACTGGTTCGAGGCCACACTACTACTAAGTGGCAGAACTGGGATTGGAACTCAGGCCGTTTGGTTCCTGAATCTATGCTTTTGGCTAAGATTCCTCTCTGCCCCCCTTCTAAGCTCAGGTGCCTTGAGACATCCAGGTAGACCTCTTTCTCTCTATCAGTCTGTTGGCCTCTTAATTGGGAGCTTTGGAGAGTGGATAGACAGAAACATAAAAATTGGAAGAAAAATAAAAATTCAGCATAAGGGTTGTAATTAAAAGCCAGAAAAAACAGGTTGTTTTAGACTTTAACACATATTAAGTATTTAATGCAACATAGTAGATAGCATGTCCAGAAATTTAAACTGCAAGAATGGGTAAAAAGCATATTCATTTATTCAACAAATGTTTATCGAGCATCTATTATGTGCCAGGCACTGTTCTAGGTCCTGGGGATACCAGAGTGAATGGAACCGTCTAAAATCTTTGCCCTGGAAGAGCTCACATTCTGGTAAGAGCATAAGCCAAGAGAGGAGGAATCACCGTAGAAACTAACAGACAAAAATTTCAGTAATTGCAGAAAGTCAGGTAGAGAGTTTAAATAAGATATAAAACATTCTTTAAAGTGAAAAATATAAAATGAGTGCAAGTGGCAGAGGGAAAAACAGAGATCGAAGAGATAGTTGAAGCTGCGCAGAGGTGAGAACCGATGGGGACACAGGTCCTGAGAAAGGGCCTCTTGGTCGCAGGTACAGGGAGCCCGAGACAGAAGATAAGCCTATGTTCAGTTCCCAGGAAGTGGCCAGCAGCTTTCTTCTCCCAGACTCTGTTTACAGTCTGTATTAAACAGGAAAATACCTCCTAAAAATAGAATATAATTAGGCCCCTGGTAAACAAAGCAGTCTTTTTGCATAGGGCATTTTACTTTCCAAAGTTAGAGTTTATCTAACTTGGTTTATTTTCCCAAGAACCCAGTGAGAGGATAATATTATGTGCCCTTTAAAGATCTAGAATTTCCCTGACTCAGTACCATGGGGCGAAGGATGGGAAGAGAATGACCACCCACACCTCCCACCACGCAGCCCTCACCCAAGAGTCCAGCGGCTCTTCCCTGCCAAACAAATCACATGAAAGTGCCTCGCCTGGTACTTAGGAGTTCCTGCCTATGACCATTAATGGCTGCTCTGATCCAGGGGTCTCTTGCAGCTCCCTACAGGGGCCCCCCAGTCCCACTGCAGCAGGGGGCTTGCTGTCTCCTGAATGCACCCATTGTCGCCACCCGTGCCTTTGTGGAGGCGTCCTCCACCTGGAAGGTTCTTTCGTCTTCAGCTCTTCCATTAGAATTCTCCCACTCCGGGCCAGCCCGGTGGCGCACTGCTACAGTGCGCTGCTTGGGAAGCGCAGCGGCGCTCCCGCCGAGGGTTCGGATCCCACATACAGACCGGCCGCTCACTGGCTGAGCGAGGTGCGGGGGCAACACCGAGGGTTGCAATCCCGTTGCCGGTCCCGGTCCGGTACGGGCGCGACACTGAGGGTTGCGGTCCATTGCCGGTCACAAGAAAAGAGACAAAAAGGAAAAAAAAAAAAAAAAGAATTCTCCCACTCCAAGGCTCATCTGCAAATTGCCTGTTTCATGATGTGTTTCCTGGAAACCCCATTCCCAGTGTGATCTTCTCCCATGTGGAATACTGTGTGTGTCTATTATGACCTTCACTTCCTATCCTGAGTCAGAGTTGTTGGTGTCCTCATCTTGTGTCTTATTCCCCCGTATTTCTGGGTTCCTGACCTCGATTTCCCTCACCTATATGGGCCAAGCTTAGTACCTCATACATAGTAGGCTGTTGTTTGTTGGATCTGATTCACATAGAGATAGGATCCTGCCCACCTCAAGCCTTGGAATCAAGAGGAAGAGACACACAGTTCAGAAAAAGCATTCATCTATTTTACCAGCCCCACCCCCGAAAAAAATAGATGATCTATTTCTAAAAGTATCAGCTTGTTATTTTTTGTTAACTGACTTTTCCAGCTTCAAGAATCTCCTCTAACATATAGGCTAATTATCGTAAATATTTCTCTAATCACCTGTTTCTCTTCGTTTCCCTGGTCATTTGCTAAAGGCAACCTCTCTCTCCTGGAATACTGAAACTGCCAGCAATAACTGGTCTCCACATACCTGCAGTCTGTTTCCAGTCTGCAGACACCCAGAGTGGCCTTTTCAAAATGCAGCTCTGACACTGCCAACACCTTGCTTACGATCTGTCAGTGCCATCCTCTTGGTCTTAGGATTCTTCCTCCCACCAAAGGAATTTGCATACGTTATTCCCTTTGCATGAAATGCACCAGCTTCCACCCCTCTGGCCTTGTCTTCTGTTTGGTTGCCATCAGCCCCCAGATCTCCACTTCGGATATCACATCCGTGGTGAAGTCTTTTCTGACCCCTTAGACTAAGATAGGTCCCCTATTAAGCATCACCATAGCATTGTGTCTCTTTTCTTCAAATAACTCAACTTGGTTTATATCAACATTTTTTTTTTTTTTTTTTTTTGTGAATACGAGTGATTGTCATTATTCTTTGTGCTCTTTTGGACTGAATTTTATTTTATTTTATTTTATTTTTTTTTTTATTTTATTTTTTTTTAATTTTTATTTTGTCAATATACACTGTATATGATTATTATGGCCCATCACCGACACCTCCCTCCCTCCTCCCTCTCTCCCCTCCCCCGCAAGAATGTCTTTTCCGTTTGCTTGTTGTAACAACTTCATGAAAGTATAGTTGTTATATCTTCTTCCCCGCCCCCCCCCCGATTTTTTTTTTTTGTGTGTGTGTGTGTGTGTATTTTTAAGATAATTTTCTTATGGTATTAGCCTCTGTTCTTCCCACAAAAGCTCCATCAAGGCAGGGAGAAGGCTGCTTTTTCTCTTTGTTATAACGACAGGGCATTTGCTCTCCATTTTACACACAGAAGCCCAGCTCAGTGCCTGCTAAGTTGTGAGTAGATCCTCCCTACTTACAGATCTTGCTTTTGCAGATTTAACTGCTCACAAAATTTATTTGTAGCTACAAAATCCATACTTGTAGTACTTTCTCAGTCATTTGCAAACATGCACAGAGTGGCAAAAAATGTTAGCCACCCCACACACAATTCCCAGCTGAGGCTGAACAAGCCACCACTGCCTTCTTGTTTCAGCTCTCCTACTATAAAGAAGTGCCATTTTTGAAGTCTACATAGTGCCACCTATTTTATGCCACTATTGGTGATTTTGCCATTTAAAATGGCCCCAAGTGTAGTGCTGAAGTGCTGTCTAGTGTTCTTAAGCTCAGGAAGGCTGTGATGTGTCTTATGGAGAAAACATGTACGTTAGATAAGCTTCACTGAGGCATGAGTTACAGTGCGGTTTGCCATGAGTTCAGCGCTCATGAATCAGCAATATAAAGTAAGGTGTCCTTAAACAGAAACACGCATAAAACAAGGTTATATAACGATCAGTTGACAGAAATGTTGTGACCAGAGGTTTGCAGCAACCCAGCCCTGTATCTCCCGTAGGAGCACCAGTTCAGTATTCACTAATTCAGTGTTCCAGCCAACTTTACAGAATGTAGCTACCACGAATAATAAGAATCAACTATACGTAGTATTTGTACAAAGAACGAATATATTTTAACTTCAGATACACAGTTTTTAAGTTTTTGCATAAAGGCATATCTGGAGGGGAGATGAATTAACTGAGTGACCTTGAGCAACTTACTTAATCGTTCAGGGCCTTGATTTTTTTTTTTTTTAATTATAAAATGGTAGTAACGGTGATGATCTCCTAGGGTGCTTGTGAGGATTAAGCCATGTAATGTGTACAAGAGTGTAATGCGATGCTTGCGTATGGTATATTCTCAAAAAACGTTGGCTCTGAGTCCTGCTGTTGGGATGGGCAGATCTCATCTCTCTCTGCTGGGTGACCCAAGTGGATTCTCCCCCCGCAGGATGTAACGATCATGTCAGCGTGTGCACCCCCAGGAGGTGGCCGCAACCCTGTGACCCCCCGCTTCATCCGACACTTCAGCATGCTGTGCCTCCCAATGCCCTCAGAGCACAGTCTGAAACAGATTTTTCAGGTGAGTGTGGATTTAACCTCAGGCAAGAGGGGAAAAAGAAAACATTCCCAGCCTTCCACAGTCAGGTGGTTTGTGTGTTTCTAGGGAGCCCATCTGACCCTTTCCTGAGCAGACAGCAGGTAAACTTGGGTGCCTGGACAGTAGCTGTCAGGAATTTACATCACTTCTGTGTTTGTGGTCCCAGAGACAGTTTGGGGAATGCAGAAAGACTGGGCAGGCATAACCCCTACGTTTAAGAAAGGTGTGTCTCTGGCCCTCAACTGTTAGCATTCTGCACACAGTTCTTAGCAGATCTCATTCACTGCCCAGCGCCCAGCTCTGTGCTCATCCCATGCCTGACCATTGGCCTGCGTGTCCACTCGTCACCAAAGGCGACACCTGACACCCCAGGGAGCTCAAGCTCAGCACACCTAAAACACAATTCATCACCTCTCCTGCCGCCACTAAAAACAGTCACCTTTATTTCTTCCACCTGTACTAACTTCCCCAGGGGGCCACTTGCTCATCTTTTAAATGAGGAAAGTAACAGCACCTTCCCGGTAAGTGCTCACCAGAAGTGTTTGACAAATGTGAGGCTTTATTTTGAATAGATGATGAGAGAACATGAAGCATGAGGCTGGAGCCTGCCATAAACCACCGGCAAAGGCTGCTTAGGGAAGACAGACTGTGAGCCAAGTCTTGGAGGGGGTGGGAGTTGACAGGGAGGAAGGGATCCTGGGAACAGGAGGTACTTGGACAAATGTAATTGCAGAGGCAGGAAATGGTAACGTGGGCACACAGGTAGAACAAGACAGTTCAAGAGACTGGTGTGGAGGAGATGACTCTGTCCGTAAGTGCCCAGCGATGCGGGAATTACACGAGTGTCCACATTTACCATGTCGGGGCTTCTTGTTCCAATGGAGGCCTGCTTAGAGGAGAGAAGGGCACACAACCTGTAGCACGTGGAAAGGGGTTTTCTGTTCATATCAAAATAGCTTGCAATCCGCAGAAAATTATTTTCTAATAAATTTGAAGTAGCTACAATAAGTTCTTTAGGAGCTAATGCTGAAATGATATATAAAAACTGCCACATTTTGCAAAACTCTTGGAGAGGGCTTTAGAATATGAAGGGATGGAAGCTTATCTCCTCTAATGAAGCACCAAAGTATAGAACAAGACATGAAGCAGGTAATGGGACTACCGCAGCAATTAGAAGGGTTTTTTTTTAAAGCCCCTCACACAACTTTTTTTTTTTTTTTTGGAGAACCTTTATATTTACATTTTGAAGTTTGAGGTGAATGATTCTCGACCATGTTATCCAGACACACTTTGTGATGTGTTGAGTGCTGAGGGGTGTCCAAATAACTTATGCCTGATAAAAGAGTGCTGAATTTGCAAATTATTTCATTTTTTAATAAGTTCAAATAGATTCAGGATTATCACTATAAAAATGTCATTTTTAATCATTCCAAATGCTTTCTCAGATGGGAAGGAAAACGTAGAGTCTGGCCTCCTGAGAAAGAAATTGTCCTTGACCCTGATCCTCCTGAGAGATTGTCACATCCATGGAATGTGTCACTTATGGAGACATCAGCCAGCCAGCACATCACAGCTGGAAACAGGCTGTGATGGGCTTCTTCCCACTGTAACTTACAGGCTAATATTTAAAACTCACACTAGGGCCGGCCCGGTGGCGCACTCGGTTGAGTGCGGCGCTTGGGAGTGTGGTGGCGCTCCCGCTGAGGGTTCGGATCCCATATAGAGACCAGTCCGCTCACTGGCTGAGCGCAGTGCGGGCACGACACTGAGGGTTGCGATTCCGTTACCGGTCACGAAAAAAGACAAAAAGGAAAAAAAATAAAATAAAATAAATAAATAAAACTCACACTAGCTGTGGGTGAAATACAAATAAAATGTGGCAAAACTGAGAGATTCCGGGGGCTACTGGGTTGGACTGGATTCAGGTGGAAAAGTGTATTTCCCTCGTTACCAGAACAGACAGGATATTTTACCTGTAGAAAAAAAGTACTTGCTCTAGGCCTGTGCATCTCAAACTTCATTTTTAATCACAACCCACCTAAGCAGGGTTAATGCTGATGAGAATTTATCTATTTAAAAAACTATAGTGATTTTCCCAAGAGTTCATGGCCCATCTGCCCTGTCCTTTGTCATTGTATGGAGGGAGCATAAAGAGCCTGGGGATGACCAAGAATTAAAGAAAAGTAAAATCAATAATTTAAAGTAAATTTGTTGTTGTTAGCAACATATATAAATTGATTTATTTCTACTGTATAAAAAAGCCTACAAGTCTAAATATTATACATATTTTATATATACATAATATTTTAATCACCAATTAGTTTTAAAGCCATCGGTCATATTATTGCTCTTTCTTTCATTGTCTGTTGCAAATTAGTTAAACAGAACATATATGCAGGGAGTACACCACTAATGTCAGGTCATGGTTTGCACAGATTTGGATTATATATGCTATATATGAGTCTTCCTTGAACCACAATTCATACACACTTGAGTGTTTACTTATTGGAAATTTATATCCCAAAATATGTACCACTGTACACTCTAAGGTAACTAAACAGCACACCACAAATTAAACTGATGTTGTCACAAAATTAAATAAAATGTTTAGTCAGAAAGACATAACAGCAGTAACTGAAGACCATGATCAACTCCATAAAGAATTTCCTCATGCCAAAGCATCCTTCTCCAGAACTGTGAGAATTCTGGCTCTATCTCATGTGCATATTCTTAGTAGGGGCTTTCAGAAGTTGCCAACATATCATTCAAACCAGACTGTTCAGTAGAATACCAAGTTGTGGTCCTCAGTAGGCTCTATAATGACATGCTATTTTTAATTTATTAATACCGATTTAGTAATCCTTAATTCATTCAGCAAACGAATATCTGTTGAATACCTACCATATGCTAGATATTGGTGTATCATTTTGAACAAAATAGCTGTCATCCCTGTCCTTGTGGAGCTTCCACCATGGAGACAGATAATAAACAGATAAATGAGATATATAGATATATACACTATTGCTAATATGTACATTAGAAACTGTACTTCAAAAAAATTGTGCAAAAATAGTATTAAAAGATAATATGAATCTTTCCATGAACTTTTTGAAGACCCCTTGTATTTGTATTTGTGTGATGGAGAGTACACAGGCTGAAACTTTTTCCACATGCATAATTATAAAATAAAAATTACAGTTTGTCTACTGTCCATCACACACAGCTGGGTAGATTTTCATCAAATTTGGAGATTGGGTTTGGGATGGTGCTACTCAAAATACAGGCCATGTGGAGTGTGATAAACTCATGTTGGGGGCCCAGGAGGGGGTTACCTGAAAAAGACAGATAGTCCTCAGAAGCTGCTAAAGTAATGTTCAAAAGGAGGCCCACTGAAAACAAATGCTTGGGTTTATTTCAAAATATTTCATATATGAGCCCCAAATCTAAAGTCACAAAGGCTAACTTGCAAGCTTTGATATGCTTTCTGGTGATTTCTTCCATGAGTAACTCCACAGTTAATGGACTATCTGAGTTTGAAAATAGGTGAAGTTTCTCATTTCTTGATGAGTCACCATATTGCAGTGCTTTCTTGTGATAAGAATTTGTCTATTTTAAAATCTGTAATGATTTTCCCAAGCAACTGGGGGTGGGGAGCCAGCTCATAAATATGTACTATCAAATTGTGCTAAGTTATATATGAGAAGATCAGAGACTGAAGAGAGGACTTATTCTAGATCATTGGATGGTCAAGAAAGGCCTTCCTGGAGAGAGGACATGTAACCCAAAACATGAAGACTGAGAAAGTGCCTGCCAAGCTGGGAGAGACCTGCAGGAGGAAGGGGCGTGGGTGTGAGGCCAGTGTGGCTGGGACCTGGTGGGCAATGGGGAGGGAGAGGTGAGGTGGGCAGCATCAGGGAAGCTGTGGCCTGATTTGCATTATTAAGGGTCACAGAAGGGAGACAAGAGTGAAAGTGGAGAGGCCAGTGAATGAAGGAGAGAGTGGAGAAGCCCAGATGGAAGAGTGGGGGGTCAGGATGGAGTGGTGTCAGGGGAAACAGGAGGAAGTAGACAGATTCTAAAAATGTATTCAGGATTGACTGTGGGGGACAGAGAATGGGAGGTGTTAAGAGAGACTTCCAAGTTCCTGATCCGAGCAGAGGAGGGCAGGGCTGTCTACTGAGATGGGGAAACTGAGGGGTGGGGAGTTCATGATTACAAGTGAGTCACACTTTAAACGTACATGAAGATGTAAGTCTGCGAGATTACTGATTATTCACCCATAAAAACCAGAGAAAGGGCTTCAGATGAGTCTGTGCCCTCCATGAAGACCCTCTGGAGCCACAGCAAGCAGAAGTGTAAATGACTTGAAAGTAAGTTCATGGTAAACTCACTAATCAGATCTGAATGCCGCTCAGACCTCACCAAACAATCACAGGAGATGGCAGTGAGCTCATTCTTAAGAAAATATTCTGAAATGAACAGAAGAGCTTTAACACAGAGATATTTTTGTGCTGGAATTTAGCTTTCTAGTTATTATTAGAAAAAATATCAGATCTAGAGTATTTGAAAGATAAATACTTGGTTTAAAAAAAAACTCTAATCCTCTCATCTTATGTTTCTGGTTCTAGGCCATCTTAAATGGCTTTCTGAGTGACTTCCCACCTGCTGTAAAGCAAACTGCAGCAAACATTGTAGAAGCATCAGTTGAGATTTATAACAGAATGAGTGTTGATCTCCTGCCAACACCGGCCAAGTCCCATTACGTCTTTAACTTGAGGGATTTATCCAAATGTGTGCAAGGTAATGTCCCAAATTCTCATTCTCTGATCTGCACCCTCCCTTCATTTCTGTTGGCCACCAAGCCTCTCAGCAGAATTGTGTGTACCCAGGTGTCTGTGACTCACCTGGAAATCCCATTACATGTCCCCGTTCAAGTCACCCTCCACGTCCCGCCGAGGCTGAGTACTTCACAGCTTTTTCGAACTGCCAGCATCTCCCACTTCTCACTCCCAGCTGATGACCTGTCTTTCACTGAGGAAATAGAAGCAATTGGACCCGAGCTGCCTCATCTTCCAAAGCTGCCGGACAACCTGCATCTTCCTTCCCTGAGCAGAGCTGTCCCACACCTATGGCACTGAATCCCATCCCCTCCTGCATACATGAGGATTTTGCTCTTATAATTCCCACTTCTCTTCTGTATGTTCAATGATTTCTCTTCTATTAGATCATTCCTAACAGCATGAAAGAACTGCGATAATACCTCCTATCTTAAAAAAAAAAAATAGTTTTCTTAGGCCCCATATCCCCCTACTGATACCCACCCTTTTCTCTGCTTTTTCTAGAAAGACCCCTTAAAGAACAGTCTCTCCTCGCTGTCCCACTTACTCCCTCCAGTTCTCCTTTAATGTATTTCAACCAGAGTTTCATACTGACACTGCATTAAACTGCTCTCTTCCCAAGTTCACGTCTCCATCTTGCCACATCCATTGGTCAGTTCTCAGTCTGCACCCGAACCTCTCGGCAGTGTCTGGTACCACCCTCCCCTCCTCGTCACCCCCTACACTCGCCCCCCTCCCCACCCCCAGCCCCCACTTCTCTACTGTTCCGGGGCACATGCTGTCCTGGGTTCCCTCGTCTCACCAGCTCTGCCACTCAGTCTGTTCTGGTGGCTGCTCCTCCTCTTCCCTGCTTCAAAATGTTGGGGCCCCAGGCCTCTGTCTTTGGTCCTCTTTTTTAGCTACACATACTCCCTGGGTAATCTCAGTCAATTTCCTGGTGTTAAATGCTGTCTATTCAGAGATGACACTCGAATGCCTGCCTCCAGCTACCTCCTCTCCTCTAGGTGACGTCCGATGTGTCTGATTTGCATATCCAACTCCCTTCTCAACGTCTTCACTCAACTGGGCTTCTTAAACTTGACACGTCTGCACTGAATTCTTCCTTTATCCCTCCACCGCTGGCCATGTGGACCCCTGTCCCAGTGGGGACTACCATTAGTTGCTCTGGCCATGAGCTTTGATAACCCGTATCGAATCCTTAAACAACAATGATGCTTTACCTTCAAAATATATCCCAGATCTAACCACTTCTCACTACTCCATCCACTAGCACTCTAGCTCGAACAGCCATCACCTCTCACCAAGATTTCTAACAGAAAGAGCCTCTTCTCTAATCTCCTGCTTCCAGTCTGTCCATTTGCCCCACCTTGACCCAGCTCTGCCTCTGCCCAGCAGCTGGAGGGATCCCCTGTCCAGACCCTCTTGAGGCTGCTTCCCAGCACCCGCCGTGTGCTGAGTCTCTGCGTGATCGGGTCCTGGTCCTCTCCCTGCTTCCGCTGCCCACCACTTTCCTCCTGGCTGCTGCCGTCTCCTTGCCTCTCCTGGAGTAGGGCTGGCCAGGGGCCCCTCTGCTTCTCTTAGATGCTCTTACCCCATATATCCACATGGCTCACTGTCCCAGCTTAAGTGTCACCTCCTCAGTAAAACCTTCCCCCACTTGTCCCTTCACAGCACATATTACCTGAAATCATATTCTGGATATTTCTCCACGTGTGTTTGCATCTCTGTCTCTCCCACTAGGACATCAGCTCCACACGGGCTGTTCGATGAGTTCACCACACATCCCCAATGCCTAGGACTGTGCCTGGCATTGAACGAGTGGATATCTAAATTAATGAATAAACAAGCGTCACAGAAGTTCAAAACTGAAAGGAAGCTTTTGCAATACCCGATCTAGCTTTGTGCATAAGGACACTAACTCTTGGTTGCTCCACGATCTGCCTTGTCTCCTGACTCCTCATCCAGTGCTCTTCATTCTCCTCCACTCTCAATAATATTTTCTCAGCAAAGATTCAAAATGAAGCATAAGTTTGTTTAAAATATCTGTGAAGTAGCCTAAGGGAAAGCCATCAAGCACTTCCATGTGAATCAATGGCCAGCCTCCAGCCTCTCTGAAACCCAGCTCCCTTTTCTGTCCTCATCAGAATCTAATTCATTGCCCGTGTGCACTACGAGGGCCATGGCAGCAGCCAACACTCGGCTCTAAGAACCCTGACCCCCACCTGCCCCTCCTTAGTGCTCCCTTCTCACCGCAGGTCCCTGATCTGTCTAACTCCGGCTCTGAGGGCTCTGTCAGTCTGTGCTCTTTCTCCTCCTCCTCCTTGAAGAGCCTGGGGCTCTCCGAGCTGGCACACCATCCTTGCCACAGGATGACACAGTAACTTCTGTTCCTGCTCCTCCACTGAAATCTTACACTCTCATATTAGCAGTTTAGTCCTGGCATTCGTGAACTCATCTTTGCTAAGAAACAGTAGCATATGGCTTTGTTTCCTTAGTGAACTGCTTTGAACTCACTCCTTGGTCCTCAGACATTGTCTCATCTGGTCATTTATTTATGATCCTCCCCCATTGCCTTTTTATTTCTATGTTTTACATAATTTCTGAGCTTCAAAATCCACTTTATCTCTGGAAAGGATACCATCATAAAGTATCCAAGAAATTCTAATTTGAATATATTTTTCCTTGTCCCCACATTTCACCAAAATGTCCTGGGAATTCCCTTCTTATTTCTATAACTATTAGCTGAAAATAATTAAAACTATAAGCACTTCGGGCCAGCCCGGTGGTGCACTCGGTAGAGTGCGGCGCTTGGGAGCGCGGCGGCGCTCCCGCCGAGGGTTCGGATCCCATGTAGAGACCGGTCCGCTCACTGGTTGAGCACGTTGCGGGCGCGACACCAAGGGTTGCGGTCCCGTTGCCAGTCATGAAAAAAGACAAAAAGGAAAAAAAAAAAAACTATAAGCACTTCAAGAAATGTATGAGGGTACTTTAAAAATCTCGTGGAAAAAATGTAATTAAAAGACAATACAAATCTTTCCATAAACTTTTTGAAAACCCCATGTATGTATCAAACACACACACAAAAAAAAAAAAACCCACAAATGTGAGGTGCAAAAAAATAAAATAAAATTAGTATCATCTGTAGAAATGCCCTAGTATTCCATAGTAACACAGACAGTATCTGCTATGTTACATGGTGTGTGCTCTTTGCTGTGTGTACCTGTGTGCATAGTAGATACTCTCTCTGCCAACATCTGCACAGTGTGGGGAGTCCAATCTGAGGAGTCCCTGTGGAGAAGGAACATTTGCTGGCATTGCTGTACATCATTACTTTTGTTGTAACTTGAATTTATTAGAACTATATTTGCAATAACAATTTGTATTCATAAAAAGTGTTCTCAGAATAATTTGGTAGCAACTAGAAAGGCCAGGGGCATTTGGTGAGGACTGAATACTGGGGAAAAATGAGAGAGAGAATGGGTGTTTTGAAAACAGTGTAAGTGTCAGGGGGAGACAAGTTACGTGACAAGTAATCTTTTTTTAAAAAATGTGACACTTCTCACTTAACATATTGCAACCCTGTAATAATGAGATGAACATTGCTTATATTGTGAAGTCTAACCACTTTACATGTGCAATTAGAGAAACATCACAAAACAGGAAAAAAATGTTTTTGTCATGTGCTCCAGTTTTGCTTTCAAAAAAAATGAAGTCACCATTATTATTACACAAGTATGTCCACTGGGGAAGCACTCATTTCTGGTAGTACAGGGATAAAGTTGGACTTAATAGCTATTTCCTAGTTAATTAAACTATTACTAGAGATTCCACAAATGTAGAATTTTCCTTTTCTTTTTTTTATCTTTTCTTAAAAAACAGGTATCCTCCAGTGTGATCCAGGAACCATCAGAGAAGAAATTCAGATATTTAGACTCTTTTGTCACGAATGTCAAAGAGTCTTCCATGATCGTTTGATTAATAATGAAGATAAGCACTATTTCCATGTTATTTTGACAGAAATGGCCAGTAAGTATCAATCTTTATATATATTCCTTTTTTTTTTTTTTTTGAGCAGAAAAGCAATTTGGTTTCTGAAGGAAAATTAAAATAAATTTACATAGGGGAATAAAATGAATTTTAGTCATTCATAAGTAAAAGTTATTTTCTTTGATAGCTCAAATATATAAAAAACATGAAATATGAAAAGAATTTTATTGAAATTAAGGAAAGGTTAATATTTTTAATTTAGCATAGAATTTTAAGTGGGGGGGTAAGTAGGAGAAACAGCATTTTGTATGATAAGAAGCCAGGATAATTCTTAGTTACTTCTTAGTTATTAAATAACTATCCATATTTATTATTTAACAAAAGCTTTAAATATTTATTAAATATTCTTAATCTTAAATCTGGGAAATTATCAACCAAACTAAAGTGGCATGGTGTTAACACGGCTTACTCTCAGTTTTCATTTATACTAATTACGACTTCTAAGTAAACAGCTGAAATTATTCTGTATATTTTATGATTCAAATACTGCTTATCATTCAAGCTTATCACTATGTTAAAAATTGTTTTTGTTTTTTAAATAGACAAACATTTTGGAATTGCAATTGGCCTGGAATATTTTTTGAATAAGCCCATCATATTTGGAGATTTCATTAAGGCAAGTATGTTGTATTGACCTAACTACATTTTAAAAGATTATAAAGCATTTTTATTTTCCAATTCAGGATCATATTCTACAAGAACTTTACATCTGTGAAAATCAAAGACGTGGGCCAGGTGTCAGAAAACTATGGCCCATGGGCCAAATCCACGTGCCACTAAGTGTATTTTTGTAAACAAAGTCTTAGTGGAACACAGCCACACCCGTTCACTTGTGTACTAATGATATAGTTGCTTTTGCTAATTATTTAACAGTGCTGCCCTCTTCATTTCAGGGTAACTCTAATTAGTAGCAAAATTTTCTTTATATTTAACTTCCTTTATATTTCCTTATGAGCTCAAGTCTGTTTCTCCAATAATGTCTACACATGGGGCCTAATTTTACCTCCTGGACCTGTCTAGAGTAACTCTTCCATCTAACCATCTTACCTGCCTTGACAGATACCCATCCTATTTCACCACGTTGACTCCTGTTTCGGTAAAACATTCCCAGTGTCTCCAAGAGAAGAGGAACTATATCTATTTAGTACACCCTAAGTCCCCAGCTTCCTGCACAGAACTAGGTACATAGGAGGCTAACAGGCGCTCAATCAATGCTAGTTTAACAAATGAACGGACTTGTCTTTATACAAGTATTATATATATGCAATACCTCACCTGTGATTATCTGGTAACTCCCTTTTAGATGAGTATTACCACCTGACAAATGAAAAAGATAAACAGTTTATTCGTGTGAAATGTATCTATTTAAATTTATTGTTAAAAATAAAGTCCAAAGTTTGTTTTCAAAAGTTGTATTTCCTGTGTGTTCCTAGTGATAGTATTATCAAATAGGGGAATAAATATTATCAAATGGTTGGAAGGGAACAGGTGTACTCTCGCTGCATTGCCAGTATGTGTTTTATCAAAGGTTCCAGGTGAAAATGCCCCCAGGGCAGTTGCTGCAGCAGAGAAAAGACACCATCAATAGATCCAAACAAGGACTCAATTTTCTATGGTTTACACCTGAATTTCATTCTGAAGGATTTGTTAAACCCTAGATGACTGCTGTGCAAAAACTACATATAGTTCTAGCATGACTTTTTATAACAATAAAAATCTGCCATGCAAAATTTTCAGTTAGCTTTTCTAATGTCAACAGCCTAAGAGTATGGAACCAGAATGTGGGATTGTGAGAAAAACCAAAACACTATTTCCAATCTCCTGTGTGAATTTCATTGCAAAGATCATTGAAATTCCAGTGTACCACTTGAAAAAGTTAAATGAAATCGATTTCCAGTTTAAGCATATTATATGTACATTTATATATCAAAATTGATCCAACTAGATTTTGTCCTGTGATCTTATAGTTTGGAGCAGATAAGTCTGATCGGATTTACGACGATATGCCCGATTTAGAGAAAATCGCAAATGTTCTACAAGACTATCTTGATGATTATAACCTCGTAAATCCCAAAGAAGTGAAGTTGGTGTTCTTCCAGGATGCTATAGAACACATTTCAAGGTATAACTCTATAAGGCTCCCAATTATGCATTGATTTAATGTCTTTTGTATTAAAAGGTAAAAATTAGGGCTGAACCTGTGGTGCACTCGGGAGAGTGTGGGGCTGGGAGCGCAGCAGCACTCCCGCCACGGGTTCAGATCCTATATAGGGATGACCGGTGCGCTCACTGGCTGAGCGCGGTGCGGCCGGTCTCAAAAAGGACAAAAAAAAAAAAAAAGGTAAAAATTAAGTTGTAAACAATTCTTTAAATAGACTGTTAGATGAACAATGTTCTTTCAGCAATTCTGCCAATAATTTCAAAATTATTTTTTAATATATTTTAAATATATATGGCATGAACTGTCTATGGGAATCCCAGGGGTTACTATTTTTGCTAAATATTAACAGATTGTTTTTATATGTCCTGTCTTATTACAAAAAGGATCTGAGGTGGTTTACAGAGATACAAGTACAGTATAACAAGACTAATTACATGCATGCCTAAAGAAAGAGGGGGGTTCGAGATTATAGCAAAACAATTTGAATCCAGGATTATAGATTCCATCTGCTTATGAATCTGATTCAGTGAAAGTATCCTTTGAGAGATGTCCCTGACATATGTGCATCCAGCATGAACATCTGCAGTCCTTGGGGCATGTACCACATTTTTTTTTAATTGAATCAAAATCGATTATACATATTTTGGGGGTTGAACATTGAGATATGTTGATCAAATCAATATTACTAGTATATATATTGTTACAAATCATAATTATTCTTTATGCCCCTTGTCCAATCTCCCCCCTTCCCCCATACCCTCCCCCTCCCCCTCCA